TGTCATGGTGGAAAAATTGCAATGATGACAGTTATATACTCCCAAGATATCATGTTGGGAAATAACACCGTCCCCATATCTTTTTTTCGCCCATGGCATTATACTAATTGAATCATTATTTACTTTTCAGACAGGCCTATTATTTTTTATATAAGACGTTTTCTTATTTCTGCTATATAGCCGTTGATTGAACAAGAACGTCCAACTGCCATTTCACAGGTGTTGTTTTTAAATCTTGCTGAATTTATCGCTAGAATCATTATTAGAAAATCCTGGTGGGTGAATATTTTTTTTGGTCGCCATGCAGCAGAGACGTCTGGGTTACATAAACAGTGGAGAACTCTTAGAATAGCCCAACTTAAAACAAAATCCAACTATCAAAAACCCGTTGTCCTCATCTTTGTCGCCGTATTTATTACAACGTTTCGGCCGTTGTACGCTCCGTTCTTCTTCAGGTGTTTAGAATATCGAACTGAACCCTTTATTTCGCTCACTGGGGTAGACTGTTCTAGTTCCACGTGCCATGTCTAATGGATGTCAGTTATCAGTTATCTCCTCTCCAAGTTCTCCACTGCCTTAACCGGGGACCGAACTCATACACTTTTTGGTCCTCTCACTGGATCTAACTAACAACTTTATCTACTGTGACATGTGTCCTTGGGGACATCTGTGTCTGAATTTCTGAGTATTATAAACCTAATGTCTTCGTTAACCATTTTTACTAGTGCTTATATTATAATATTTGCTGTTATCATTGTATGTTTTATACCAGAGACTATATTGCAATTTTTATTGTTATTATCGCTTTTCTCTGGCACTCCTTATTACTGGTTCCCATAATGTATTCATTTCTATGCTTGGTCGGCTCAGGAGTTTTTTTGTGGCCTACAATATAAATTCTGATTCCTTAAGTTTACTGAAATTTCCAATGGTGATTTCCTTGTCTATGATTTTTCCACTTCCCTCGTGTTATAGCTTTCTAGTGTTCTTGAAGCCTTACCTTAAGGGGCGGCCTGTAGGAATTTATATTTCTATATTTATATGCATCGGGATTTTTACACACAGTCCTTAGTCATTTTCCTCTTGGGGGGGTCTTACTTGGGGAGAGATATCTGCGAAGTGACGTCCAACAACAATAGTCCGAATAACCATAAATAATATACATAATATCTCATCTCAGAAATATAGACAGATATCAAAAACCCTTTATTTTAGTCATCTTTCCGGCGTTGATGTATTGATCAACTAGTATTGATTATTTTTAGCTCAAAAGGAAAGAAATTTATTCTAATGGATAACATGTTGCTAGTAAGGCAACACTATCAGAATTAAATGATTTTTTAGCCACCCAAAAATTACAGCAATTTTAAGCAGGTAATAACGTCATAAATGATCATATATAGAGAAAAAACGTTTTAGTGTTAAGTATAGGAAGCCGTTGGTATAAACCAATGCTTTGGTATCAATTATAGACATTTGAGTATATTTGTGGAGTTTTCATAGTTTATTTTGTTCAGGCTAGGCCTCAAATGTTTTATGTATATAGATTCAAGATGTTTTAGCTTTTGTTTGTTTTCATGTTTAAGTATAATTGTGTTTTCAACAAGGATTTTCCGGAATTGTGTGTGCGGCCAGACATATTGTTTTAAATACCTAAAAATGTTGGAGTTATCATTCAAGCGTCGTGAATGCGATTTTAATTATATATATAAAATATAAATATTTTTTAATCCATTGAATACAATCTCCCAAAGGGAACATTTGAATTTGTAAACTATGTTTTTTTCAAATCGCTAACGGTGGGAAAGAATCGTTGCGAATAATTGAGTTAGATATACTAGATTTAGTGTAGTATACAATTTATTAATTTTTTTCTAGCATCTGTTGTAGTATATATTTGCCAATTTTTTAATATATATATATATATATATATATATATATATATATATATATATATATTACGATAAACGTGCAATCAATTTACAAATTCATGAATTATTCACACAAAAACAAAATGCAAAGGTTAATGATTTAATTGGCGAGAAATCCATCGTCGCAAACAATTCAAATAATATACAAAAACCTCCGAATCCGTTATGAATGAAATGATCCTTGTTTTATAAATTTTTGCTGTATTAGTTCTTATTTTTACTACAAGCTTTCGTCTGTTCCTACAGACATCTTCAGGTATAGAATAGATGTTGTTCTTGTTTTTTTTCTCTTAGTAATAAGAGGACAACGAAAATATATGTATTATTGTATCCGAAAATGCTATTGAAAATGAGTTATTGTTTTTGGAGCGCGCAGTAGCAACGCTGAGTTTGATTTTAAATTTTTTTAAAGGTTGTGCGTTCATATACAAATATGGTGATGAACGAAAATTTTTTTACTGGTAAATTTTCTGTCAAAGTGGCATGAACTATATTGTTCAATAATTACAGTAATGTCGCACTTATTATCCAAAAGTCGCATTTGGATCAGTTATTTAAATTACGATAAACGTGCAATCAATTTACAAATTCATGAATTATTCACAATTAAAAAACAAAAGCAAAGGTTAATGATTTAATTGGCGAGAAATCCATCATAAAAACAATTCAAATAATATATAAAAACCTATATTAATTATGAATGAAATGATCCTTTTTCCATAAATTTCTTTATATATTAGTTATTATTTTTTTTTTGTTTTTCGTCTGTTCTTACAGACATTTAAAATTAAAATATATATATAAACAGAGTTGCTATTTTTTATATTTAATTTCCTTTTTTATTCTCCAATTCACTCTTTTGTAAATGTGTTTCACGTCAATTAATTATTTAGATTTTATAATGAATATTTTCATTCTAGCGTCTTATATGCGCGTGTTCATCGTTGCTAAGTGATCACTATATAAATTTACTAAACAATGACAGACTATCATCATTGTCGTGTCCGTATATTGTTTGATATGTTTGTAATTACATCTTTGATAATGGCTTACAGTAAAGGGTTGCTTAGATTATATTAAAAAAATAATGGATAAATATTTTAAATTTTTTTTCTTCGTTTAATGATAATGTTATCAAACTTATCAGAAGATTAAAAAAAATTTTAAATAAAATAAATAGACAACACTTGTCTATATTATTTAATAAAATAAGTGAATATATATATATATATATATATATATATATATATATATATATATATATAATTCAGTTATAAAATTCTGTATTAAGATAATGGTATCTACTTCCAATAATACGTTCATTAAATATACATTTTTTGTATATTGGACAAATATTAAGAACTGATAATACTAATTATTATAAGCTAATCGTTTAACAATTGCAATTAGAAATTGAAAAACAAAAAGTGGAAAAGAAATTAAAAAAAATCCTCTTGATTACAACAATTTTGGCTTAAAATTAATATTAATTTTTTTTTCAGACAATACCGTGTTAGTATCAAGCTACTTTCATCTATGAACGATAGCTAACTTATATTTGGCAATGAAAGTTCGAGGAAATTAGTGAATTTCAACAAGAAAAAAAATAGGATGTCATCAGTGTGAGAAATCAAATTTAAATAGCTAGGTTTTCCAGGTTAATCATCAATTTCTTAAATTATAAATTTTCAAGAAATTTAATGAAGAAGGATTTTTTGTAAAAAAAACAACGTTCAGAAGGACAAAGCATCGTGTCTGAGCAAACGAAAACTCATCAGAAACCGTCGTCTTTTTGTTTCAAAGATGTTGCCAACATGATGGAAATGTCATCATATGCGGTCAAATCAACTCTGAAAAACTCTGGCTATCAATGAAGATTTTAAAGAAAGAAGTTTCTTGATTTCAAAGATTAACAGGATTTTTTAAAAAAAATCAATAAAGAATTCGAAAAAAGATTATAAATTTTGGCGTGTCTGTAATTTGTTCAGATGGATTTTAAATTGGTTGCCAATATTCGAATTCGAGATTGGTTTTATGTTTGGAGAAATCAGAATGAGACTTGGAACATTTGAATGTCTGCAGGTGACCGAAAAAAAACGGATATTTATTTTTCAATCTGGTCCCAAAACTGGCTGATTCTTCTTGACGTTGAGGTTGAATGGTCAAAAATACTTTCAATATTAATTAAAGAAAGAACTACAATTTTGTTTCCCAATCAATTTAATTGCCTGACCTTTTTCAAGAAGATGGAGCGCCATGTCATTTCAAGCAATTTTTAAAAAGGCCTGAAGAAAAAAAAATCAAGTCATGCCATGGGTAGCCCAAAATCTTGACATGAATCCAATAGGTTACGTTTTAAAACCTTTGACCGAAACTTTGAAAGTCATTCTTCAAAAAATTACGTCAGTGGCAACCCTTAAAGAAACATTGCTAAAGGAAGGGCAAAATATTGCTCAGACGATTGTTGATAACTTGATTAAATCCATGAAAAGTCGAATATAAGCACTGAAATTAGCAAATGGAAGACATATTCCATAGTAGTTACAAATCCTGTTTATTTATGTTGAGTTGTGATTACGTAATTTAATTTGAAATTGTATTAATTTATTTCTTATGGCTAAAAACTTTTCTTAGACCACTGTAGAGTCGGGTTTCAGGATTTATCAAATAGGGAATCATCTGTGGATGTTACGTACGAATACAATATGATGTGTTATTGTGTTAAATCTTGAATCATGATGTTTAAAATAACAAGAAATGATAAGAAAACAAGTTTCACATTTGAACAAGAACAAATATTTTCAACTTAAGTGCGGATGAAATTTCTGTCAAGGAATCTTAATCCAAACATCAAGTTTCAAATATCAGAGCCTCGTTTTGAAAACAATGTTTATTTATTTATATGTTTAATGTTGTATTATTTGAGGTTTTCATGAAAGAATTTTTTTTTTATTAAATCAAATTACAATCAAAAATTAAAAAATTTTTCAAAATAACATGGGTATATTTATAAAAGGAATTTTGTGGGGTCTGGATAAAAAAAATTCTCCAGCTCTATGTTGCCGTCCAATGATTTCTCTCAGACGAACTAGATATATTGGTTACTTCATTTTGGCTGGGATAGTGAAAGATGCAACTTATTTAATAGAAGAAATTTGTACGATCACAAAATTTAAGCAAAAATAGAGCCTGGTCAAACCACCCACAAAAATGTATTCTATATACGAGAAGTAAGTTTCAAATTTTCAGCAGTTTCTTCGACGATTATCTGTTCTATAGAACCGACTTTAAATAACAGGATGATTCTCCGATCACTATAATCTTAACCTGTTTAAGTCTAGTGTTAACAGTTATCTTCCAAACATATAAATAAAAAAAACTATAAAAAACCTAAAAAATTTTAAATGGAATTCAAAATGACACAGGGATTCCCTTCAGATCATTAATTTTTGTTTCTTATTTTGTTCAAGTCTAAACAAAAAGCCGTTATCTTCCTTTTCCTATCCATATAAATTCACCTCTTAATCAAATTTAACTGAGAGACCCTCTATACCTTATAGAGGGCGAACCTTATATATATAAAAAAAAAATTTTGATAAAATTTGATTTTACAGTTAAATAACACTCTAAAAATGGCTCACGAATCCTTTGTAGAGGGTGAGCGTTACATAGAATAAAAAAAAGAAAAGCTTATCTTAGCCGATGCATTTCATCCTCTGTGTGAATTTATCAATGAAAATATGAGGATTTTATTTTATAACAAGTGTTTATTGTTATCTATCTATCTATCTATCTATCTATCTATCTATCTATCTGTTATGGTCCAGGTTAGGACCAAGGAAGAACATCACGAACACAAGAGTAGAAATAACGAAGGTAAATTACACGAAATAATAATACAAGATGTGGAAGGTGTTAGTATGACCGTCAGTCTGGTTTGGAGTGAAATACTATCGGCTCGACTCGATTCGATTTTTAATTGACCCCACCCACCACCACCACGAGGGAAAGATGGTATTTATCAATTCAGTTAGGATTTAAATGTATAAATATTTTTTTAATGTGGGTATGTTTCGAGCCCGTAGGCCCAGCCAAAAATAAAACCCATCTAAACCCGTTGTAAGCGGGCTAGTTCCGTCAACCTCCCCGATTCGAATCCCCTACCCTTCGGCGGAGCTTCGTCCAGGTTCCCCTCTGCAAGCAGAGAGTTCGAAACATAAACCCAGGCAGCTCACAAAGCACAGATACTACACTTTGATCCTAGCCACCGGGCCGAGCGGGTATTTTTTATTAAACATGGGTTTTTCAGAAGATTTATTAGCAAATTAGAAATAGTTCGGACAAAAAATGCCTTTAGTAAAAAAAAAAAGAATCAGGTTAGAAGGTTTAATATAGAATAATTTTTGCAATTTTATAATAAGATAGACCAGATAAATTGCCTAATCTCCGAAATTCATCTAAAAAAATTTATATATATATATATATATATATATATATATATATATATATATCCATATATATATATATATATATATATATATATATAATATTTTGTAAAAAATGATAAGATCTTCAAAAAATTTTTGTTTAGCAAAGGTAAACATGGAAAAAAAAATAAAATTCACCTGATTTTGACAATATTAGAATTCTTTACAATTCATTAAAAAGACTATAATCTTAATAAAATAAAGATAATCAAATGAGATAATTGATAAAGACACGGAAAGAAAATCATAGAAGAAGGGAGGAGAAGGAAAGATAGAAGAAAGGATTTAAAAAAGCTGAATTTTGACTTTAATTTATAAAATGAAAGCTTAAAAAAAACCAAAGAAGGCAAAATAAATTAAAAAGAATTTTAATAATATCAGTCCTTCTATATGATAGTGAAAACTGGAAAATCTCTTCCCAGATGAAGAAGAACTGAAAGACAAAAAAACAAAATAAATGAATAAATAACATAGTTGTAATATTTTCCTCCTATATGGCAGTGAATCTGGACAATCTCTTTCCCAGATGAAAAGAGACTTGAAAGCAAAATGAAAATGAAATCTAGGTAGATGAACTGTTTTTGTAATATCAGTCCTTCTATATGGCTATTGAATACTGGACAATCTCCTATTCAGATGAAGAATCGTTTTAATTAAAAGAAAAAAATAAAAATTTCAAAAAAACTGTTATATAATATCAGTCCTCCTATATATATATGAATATATATATCTAATCTCCTCACAGATGAAAAAAAGACTTGAAGCAAGAGAATAAAAAGAAAAGAATATCTGAACTGTTATTATAATATCAGTCCTCCTATATGTAAGTGAATGCTGGACAATTTCACAGATGAAGAAGAGACTTGAAAAATCTGAAATGAAAAGAAAAGAGTACTGAACTGTTATTTTAATATCAGTTTTTCTTAATAATGCATGAATGCTTACAATCAAAAAATAGATGAATGGATTTAAAATGTTTCAAACAAAACAAAAAAAAAAGTACTGAACTGTTAATGTAATATCATATTGACTTCTATATGGCAATGAATGCTGGACAATCTTATATTTACAGATGAAGAGATGAAATAACAGAAACAATAAAAAATTGATTTGAACTGTTATGAATCTTATGTAAATCTTCGTATATGGCAGAGATTTTGGACAATATTTTCATACATTTTGGCTATTCATCTTTGAAAAACTATCACCTGAAAACTCAATCAATGTTAAAGAAAAGATTTGGCTTACTTTCCAAAATGTCAAAAATGATTTCTAAGTATACCTGTAATGAAACAATGAAGTTATTTTTTAAAAAGAGTTTGAAATGAATGCATACAAAATTAATGGACTTTAGGATCAATGAGGATAATCAAGATATAAACATTTGTGCAGACCCTCGTAATAGAAAGAAACAAAAAAGTCAAATTAAAATAAAATAAGTAAAAATGAACGCATCAAGAGACAAGGATTCAGAATTAGCATCAATCCTTCATATCAAAAGATGTGAAAATTTCTGCTTTTCGTACATCTATTTTCGATGTAGTTTTTTAAGTCATACGATTTTAATTTTTATTCATATCTGAAGTCACATTTTCGAGCCTGAATTTTTTAATAATACCAATGTTCCGAATTCGTCGATATATAGTGATCTCGTTTACATCCTGACGTATTCGACAGATGGGAATTCAATTCTAAAATAATTATTATTATTTTGCCTTCCCAATTAAGCTGGTCAGTTTCTCTTACGTCATATCCGTCTGTATTAATCTCGTTCCCAAAACGTTAGCATCGTAAATTCGGAGATATATAATAAATTAATTGAATTTTTTATGAATATAAAATAAATCTCTCAGTTTATATTGACAATTGAACAAATTTTTTAGCTACAAAAATAACGATCCTTAAACATCGATTTTTTATCAGGACTATGAGTTAGTTTTTGTTACAATTTAATTATCTATCTATCTATTTTCTATCTATCTATCTATTTCAAAATTGGATGAATCAACCAAAAAAATTTAAAATGAAATATCATTTTTTATCATTAATCTATCTAATGAAATCGGTTCTATCAACAAATATCTATCTATCTATCTATCTAATAAAAAAAACATTTTATAAACAGAGAAAATATCTATTATCTATCTATCTATTTAGAAATCTATTTGTCTTTCTGTTTAAAATCTATTTAATTTTATTCATTTTCTATCTTATCTATCAAGAATAAATTTTCTTTATCTATTATTATCTATGTATTATCTATTATCTAATTTAATTCATTTTCTATCTATCTACCTATCAATAATCTATATCTATTTTCTTCTTGTCTATCTATCTATCTATCTATCTATCTATCTATCTATCTTTCTATCTATATTATGTCTCTTCATTTTTTTCATTTTTATCTATCTATCTGTTAAATATATCTATTCATTTTTTATAAAAAAATCTATCTATCAAGAATCTAATTTTAATAATTTTAATTATCTATCTATCTATCTATCTATATATTTAATTTTATTCATTTTTATTATTATCAATCTATTTCAATTTCAGAAATGAAAATTTCTATTATCTATCTAATTTTATTAGTTTTTTAATCTAAATATCTCATATATCTATCTATCTATTTATGTCTATTCATTTTTTCTTTCAATATATATATCTATCTCTGATATCTATGTCTATTCATTTTATATAATCTATCTAAATCTATCAGTAAAGTTTATCTAAAATTAATAACTATCAAATCTATCTATCTATCTATATAATCTATCTATCTGTTCTTTTTATAAAAATTCCACCTTCGTCATCCATCTTCTTTATTTCCTTCCAATTTTTCTTCTTCTTTTGTTTTATATCTTTCTTCTTGTCTGATATTTAAAAAAAAAAATGGGTTAAACATTTTTGAACATTCATCAATAAAACTCTTCAGTAATTTCTATCTCATTGATAAAACAATGAAGGATCATATTTTTAAAAAATTAAAAAAAGAATAAAAATCTCTGAAATCAGTCTATTGGACCCTTTTTTCTACCAATTTATAAGGGTTCCAAATAAAATTGGAATTATTGATTTGATGTATGGACAGTTTTGAGATGAATATTTTTATTTTCATATTTTTGAAGATCATTTTTTTCAATGATACATCAGCTTTTGCTTTTTCAATTATTTACTAGGATGCATTTCTATATTTATATTTATACTGAATTCTACTTATATATATAAAAATGTCCATATATATATATATAGTTATAAATTAGAAAATTAGAATAGAATGTTTGGAAGATTCTAGATTTTTTTTCTAGTATATTCAATAAAAATCTAGATGATTCGAGAAAATCTTAGAAATCATTGTTTAATTAGTTTGCTAGCCCAGTTCTAGGTTAAAAATAAAAATTTTGGAAAATACCTTTGTCAGTTACAAAAAAAAATAAATTTATAAAGTATACTCCGGCTTTTTGATTGAGGATTATATATATCTTGTGTGTGAATCTCTGTGAAAAGTTGCTGACCGACAAAAAAAAACCATTGTTGAAGAACCCCTTAGGACAAATCTGGTAAATAGAGTTTTGACTATTTTCATGTACCCAAAATACCAATTATACAATATATGAATCATATTTATAGATTTACAGTTATTAGCGTTTAATTTTTAAATTAGCCATAATAAAATTATGATTATTATTTCCTTCAACCTCGTAAAGATAAAATTTGAGAGTAAACTCTGGGAAATTCTGTTTTATATGCCTCAATTGTATATCATCTGAAATATTTTAAAATTATTATTATAAAAATTAATTATTATTTTTGTGATTTAACTCTGTTATTTTGGTAAATCAATTTTTCTTTTTTTTCATAAATTTAAAACACTTAATCAATAATTATGACATTCTGTTCCTCTAATCTTTAACCACAATAATGGGCGATTATATGATATTTTTTCAGTTCCAAAATAGAAAATGAGTCATTTAAGCCCATTCTATCATCATGTGATTATTATTTTATTATTATTATTATTATATGATGATTTGAAATGTTGTTCTTCCTTAGTCTACATGACTATTTGAACACCCATATCAGGATGTGGATCCATAAATATTTTCAACATCCCAATCGACCCACCTTTCTATTTCATCTGATAAGTTTTTTTTGAGTGACATCATTCTCAAAGTTTCATTTGTATATTATGTTGTCTAAAACTTTGAATCCTGTAGAATAGGTTCAAACTGTTTTTGGTCCTGAATTTTAGGATTATTATTATTATTATTATTATTATTATTATTATTTTATTTTCTTTTTCTGGCGTTTACACATTTCTTTCCGGGTCCCGCCCAGGGACCTAAGGTTAGAAATGGCATCATGACACTTTCCACTGACAAAAAAAAAAAAAAAAAAATTACATAGATAAAGCCCTTCGTAAAGTGTGGGCTGTACTTGTCAGAACAATTTTTTGTATCTCCTTGAGGCATGGACTTCCAGGAATCCCTTCAATTAGTCTACTGCAATCTTTTCCAACCAGTCCTAGGGCTCCAACTACAACAGGGATTGTTGATGTTCCCATATGCCACATTTTTGAGATTTCTATTTCAAGGTCCTTGTATTTTGACAGCTTTTTGAATATCTTCAAAGATACATTGCAGTCTGCAGGGACTGCCATATCAATAAGGAGGCACTTTTTTTGTTTGTGGTCTTTAATAACAATATCTGGGCGGTTGGCTTTGATTGTTCTGTCAGTGTGTATTGTGTAGTCCCATAAAATTGTAACAGGTCCTATCTCCGTAACCGGGTCTGGGTGGTGTTCATACCATTTTCTTTTCAGTTTCCTTCCCGTAGAAGTTGCAGATTTTCCAGTGCAGATATTGGCCCACTCTGTCATGCCGGGTTTTTATATTCAGTGGGTGCCAATGCCAATTTGCAACCTGATACAAGATGATCAATCGTTTTGGATATTTATCACAGAATCTGCATTTTGGGCTAACACAATATTTTAGTATATGTGTTTTGATAATTCCTAGTTAGCAAGCATTGGTCCTGTGCAGCAAGGATAAAACCTTCAGTTTCAGCTTTCAACCCTGCACTACGTAGCCACTGATGGGTACGGGTTTTGTCTACGTCAGCTTGTTTGGTACGGGCAGATTATTGGCCATGAAGCGGTTTATCTTGCCAGATTCTTCTGTATCTGGTTGTTGCATTTTCGTCTTTGCTATTTTTTTAGGTATTTTGCAGTTTCAGCCGGTGTATTATTGTTATAGTTGCATTCTACGCCCATTTGAAACTCCATTTTGAATTTGTTGGCTTCTTTATTACGGAAATAAAGACAAATTACTACTTTCATGTTTTTTTGACGCATACCATCATCCAGTCTTCTGTAGTTTCCAAATATCTTTGGAGGCCAATTGTTGTAGTTTTGTAGGACAGTTCTAGTTGAACTAATCCTCTGCCTCCTTCGGATCTGGGCACATACAGACGATCAACATCAGCTTTGGGATGATGCATGCGATAGCAATTGAATCTTTCTCGTTTTGGCGTCCATTCGCTTAATTTCAGCTATGGTCCAGTTAAGGACATTAAAGCTGTATTGCACCACAGGGACAGCCAATGTGTTTATTTTATTTTTTTTTTTTCATTTAGCAGTTTTATTTTACCAGAATTCTGCAATTTATGAATTATTTTTAAAATTTTTTCCTTAATTTAATTTTTCTTGGAATTTTCTTTTAATTTTATTACTGCATAAATAAAAATCAAAAAAAAATTTTTTTTTTTTTGAAATCTATTTTTTTTAAGTTTAAAAAAAAATTTTGAATTTTATTTGATCAATATTTTAAAAATTTTCTGATTTATTTAAATGCATATATTTTTATTGAATATAAGTTTAAATTATTTTATATTTAGAAAATTTTATTTTTTTTTTATAATTATCAAATTGATTACAATGTTTTCTTTAAAAATTTTTTTTTTTTTATTTTTTTTTCAAAGTCATAAAATAAACAATAAATTTATTTTGTTTTTTATATTTATGTTTTATTTCATGTTTGAAATCATTTATATTTCGTAAAAAAGATTTTAGAAAGAGGAAAATAGTTTCAAATAATTGAACATATAGGAAAAACCAAATTTAAATATATTATCATTTACATATAGAAAATAAATATATGCAATTATTATATAAAATAATTAAATAATTAAAAAAATTTAAGAAAAAGGATAAATATTTTAAAATATTTCATTTTATTTTTCAAATTTTTTATTTTTCAAAAATTGATTATTTTTTTTAATTTGAATTGAACATGATAAAAAAATTTTAAATAAAAAATTTTATAATTATTTTTTTTAAATGATTAAAAAATCAGAAAATTTTAACTGTTTTATTTAATTAAGAAACATTTTAGTTTAAATTTTAATTTAAAAAATTGATTAAAAATAAAAAAATATATAAAAAATTTTGTTTAATTTTCGATTTTTAAAAAAAATTTTTATATAAATTTTTTATAGACATTTTATTTGATTATTTTATGAATTTTTATAATTAATTCAACAATTTACATGTTGATTATTAAATTTTATTAGAATAAATAAAATTCAAATATTTAAGGAATTAAATACATTTTTATTTAAATAAAAAATTTTTTAAATATAAATTGTTTTTAAAAAAATTAAAAAAGTAAATTATTTTATCAAATTTTATTTTAAAAATTTCTTATAAAAAAATATCAAAATATTTTCATTAAATTTAATATCTTTATTTAAAGGGAAAAATATTATAAAATTGAAAATTACCAAATCATATTTTTTTTATCAAATTTTCGATTAATACAAAAAAAACTTAACCTGATTTAGAAATTAAACGAAAAATAATTTTTTTTAAATTTTTTAAATTTTATAAAAAATATGTTAAAAAAAAAAACAGGAATTGGACAATTTGATTTAAAGAAAAATTTGAAAATGAAAAAAAGAATTTTTGAACATTAAATTTATTAATTCAACAAATAAAATTATTTCAAATTTTTTTCCATAATGATATTTTTTTAAAAAATGAAAAAAAAAAAAATGTTTTTTCTTTAATTTATAAATATAAAAAAGAATATAGGAGAAAATTGAATATATAAATTCAATTTATTTTTTAAGCCAAAAAACTTGAAAAATTTCAAAAATTTTTCAAAAATATTTAGAAAAGAAAAATTGGATTTTTATAATTAAAATCATTTTAGAATTGTTTATTTTATTCAAAAATATAACATATAAAGAAAAAAAATTTTTCTTTGATGAAAAATAGTTCTTTAAAAAAATGTTCATTTAAGAAATTGAAGAACAAAATAAAATTTAATCAAGAAAAAAGTCGAAAATTTAAAAATAAAAAATTTATAATTTTAAAATATTTAAATACTTTGTTTTTGAAAATAAAAAAAAAACATATATTAAAAAAGATTTTTTTTTTGTTAATTTAATTAGACAAAAAATAATTTTATATATTAAAAAATCTTTTAAATGACTAGAATAAAAATAAAATGAAAAAAATTTTTTTAAATTTTGTTTTTTAAAAAAATTTTTAAAAAATGAAA